GGTCTCCGGCACGCCAGGCGCAGGTGCGGGCTGGGGGTCCCGGGCCCGCCCACCGCCGCCCCGCCTCCGCCTCCGCCGGGCCCCGCGCGCGGCATTGTGGGAGTTGTGGTCCCTGCAGCCCCGCGGAGCGCAGCGCGGCATCGGCACCGGCGGGCACCGGTTCCGCGCGGCTCGGCTCGGCTCCGGCGGGGCGGCGCGGGCCAGGCGGCGTCAGGGCGGTGACTCCGCGGCTCGGGCAGGGGGCGTCCGCGTGTCCGCGCCCTCGAGCTTAGGCGTCGCCCGGGTCCCCGCACCGCCTGCGCGCCCGGGCGCAGGTGAGCGGCGTCTCCCGGGGCTGCTGGGCGGGCGAGAGGGACTGGACTGAGCGGGGCCGGGTGGCTGCGGCCCGCTGTCTTCCCAGCCCGCGGCGCGGAGGATGCTCTGAACGCCTGAGTCCGCATCCCGGCCCGGCAAGGGGCCGCGGGCGGAGCTCCCGCTACGTACCGAGCACCCCCGCCGGGAATATCGCGGCCGGGACCAAGCATCACCACCTTCCTCCTCGTCTTCCTCCCCCTCCTCCCCCTTCTTCCCCTCCTCCCCCTTCCTCGTTCTCCTCCTTCCTCTCCTGCAACTCCTCCATCATCTCCTCCTCCTCCTCTCGTCCTGGTCGTAGTCTCCTCCCCCACAGCACCCCTTCCCCTGGAACCCCCCTTCCTCCCCTCCCCTCCCTTCCTCTCTCCACCCCTGGCCTTCAGCATCACCCACTTAACGTATTTCCCATTGGTAACCCATCTCCCCTGTCCCAGGAATTATCACGCGCTATACACCTCCTTCCTTCATCCTTAGCTGGTCGCCCACTCTTCCTGCCAACATTCACCTTCTGGTTGTCCAGTCCCCCTCACCCTCTAGTCTCCTGGGGGTCACCATCTACATTAACCCATCCTCTGTCTTCCCTTCTTTCTGAGATCATCGCTGGCTTAGAGTAAGGAGGGCAAGCCCCACAGGGGAGGGGCTGGCCTCTCCGCTCGGGGCGGGGGGTGGTCCACAGAGACTTGGCCTTACCCAGAGGGTGACCAGAGCTCTTTAACACTGGACAGCCTCCTGGGCTGGTCATCTGAACCGTGTTAACTGGATCAGGTCAAGCTGTCTCCCCAGTCGTTCATGGTGTCAGAAGTTACATTGGATTGGACTTGAATTTGGACTCTATTCCCGAGAGCCAATTGACCTTTAAGATCTGAGTTTCCATGTTATTAAAATACAGCACAGCAAGATGCCCCCATCCCTGTTGGGGATAGAATTGAAACATGGAAATGAGCAGATGTGTGAAGAAGGCTGGAAGTTATTGTGGTCCCTGAGATAAGGAACTTGGTATGTGGGGGGGGGGGTAGGATCTGACCCCTCCCCACTGGGGGTGGGTGGGAAGTTGGGGTGTGTGTGGAATCAATGCTTAATAAATATCCAGTCACTACCAACGTAAGGATTTCTTTTGCCACAGATCAGCTGTGAACTTGTAAATGCACTTCTGGGGCCAGGGGTCTGCTGGCCTCTGGCTAAAAGTGACTGGGTGGTGTAAAAAGTCTAAACTTGAGCTCCCAGTGCTGTTCTTGTTCTTGCCAGGAGGGACTGAAGCTGGGTTCAGGACATCAGGATCTTGGACTGTCTTGTTTAGGCCTAGCCTTCAAGAGGGCTTATGCCTGCCTTTGTACAGAATGATCTTCCTAGAAGAGGCAAGCAAGGGCTGGAGAAGTTCCCTCATTATCTGCCTGGTTTTCTTTTTCTTTTTTTTTTTTTTTAAGGGCTTTTCTTTGGCCTTTTTTTTTTTCACTTTTCTTTTTTGGTACTGGGAATCGAACACAGGGACTCACGCTTGCCTGGTAGGCACTGCGCTGCTGAGCTAAATCCCTGGCCCCATCTGCCTGGTTTTCTTTGCATTTTGATGGACTTGAACTTGGGTGATTACAAGGCTGATTTAACTGAACAGGTGCTTGTAAAATTATCACTATCTCACTCTTGGAATATCTAAGAAAAAAATTTTGCTCCTGAGAGACAGAGTTTAAGAGTTCCACTTGCAGACTTAGCTCAGTGATGGGGAAATTCCTTTCCTAAAAGTGCTTGTTATCACACTCATGAGAGTTTCACACTGAATTTCAGGAATCCTGGGTTCTGTTTGGGAGATGGTGCTAGATAGCACACCTTTTGTCTGGATTTTCCTCCCTTTTCTTAAAGAGGAAACAGCTGCCAATTTATAATAAAAGTAGGAGAAAACAAGAGGAAACAAAGGGTCTGAACATCCTGTGGAGCCCAGCCTCTCTCTCTTCTGTGTCTGAGAAGAAATTGAGAACATATAAGGGGGAAAATGTAGTTTCTAATCTCCTTGCTCTGGTGTTTTTCCTAGAAACATAAAAATCCCCATGAATATTCAGCATGTGTGTTTTTTACTTACTAAACATTATAGTCAAGTGATTCTCTACTCAACCAAAACTGGGAAAGAGCCAGTCGGCAGTTAATGAGCACCAAAGGTTTCCCTTTTGTTTTTAGCTTAGCAAGTCTGTAGACAGAAAAATCACCAGAGATGTGTGGCATTGAGAGTGTTTGGGGCTTACCCTGAGCTATTGTCTTGAGATAACTTCCTTTCCCCACCCACTGCAGTCTGCTGCCTAATGTGGAATGCCGCAGGTTCTCCCAATGACCAGCATGCCCTGCGTGCTCATGCAACATGATCATAAGTGCTTTCCAGCCATTATCTTTCATGTTCAGCCAGTGAGATGGATGTTAACCCCATTCAACAAATGAAGAACAGACTTGGAGAAGGGAAATGATCTGCCCATGGTTGGCCTTAATCCTTTGTCCAGCCACCTCCAGTTTAGACTCATGACTTTTCTGCTAGGCTACAGATAGTTTCCAGGACAAATTAGTACCCAGGAAAGGAGAGGGTACAGTTTTCCCATTTGCTTAGTTGCCCTCATGTTCCCAAGAGAGGAGAAAGAATACAAAATCAGGGGTCAGAATTGTGCTCCTGCAGCTGAAAAATATAGACTCTAGGGCTGGCTCTTCCCACTGGGGTGGAACAAGAAAGATGAACACTAAGTTTCAGAGATGCTGGGAAACATGGCTGGGGTTCTGCCCATGACACTTGGGCTCTGATGCACCTTTTTGTTTATTAGGGTAACTGAGGTGCTAGATGCTGGCCCTGATCTGTGGTAGAATGGCAGGCAAAAGGACTTGTGCGTGTGGGAAACTGAGTCAAGCCTAGAAGGACTTCTTCCTTCCCACCCCCATCATTTCATCTTATAGCCCCATGGGTGAGGCCAGAAGGCAGTCTCCAAGCTGGGAACCAGAAAGAGCCCTCCCTATGTCTGCCATGGTTTTGACCCCAGAGTACCCCCTTCCTGTTCTAACTTGGTATTAGCCTAACTCTTGTTAGAGGCAAACTAGATTAAATAAGAAAGATGAGGTGCTTGAGAACAGAAAAGTAAAGTGAAGACCATGCAGTTTTAAAGGTGCTTTGCCATTTTTAAGATGCTCTTGAATGTAGCTTTCCTCTTGATAAAAGGTATAGCAATTAAAAGAGAATAAGCATGTAAAACAGTACATCAAAGTGTAGGATTTGAAGGCACGTGAAGTCTGTGTCCGTGCCTGTGTGACTTGAGTGCAATATCCGACTTCTCTGGGCCTCATTTTTCTCATCTGTAAAATGGAGATAATAGCACCTTCTTTGGGTGGCATGGTGTAGGTGGGGCTCCTGAAGTGAGCTGACAGTCCTGCCACAGATGACACACTGTTAGCCTCTTGAGAAATGGGTTGGTGGTAAAATGGGGAAAGAATATGCAAGATTGCAAGGGGCATCCCTTACCAAGAGCTGTCTGAAATGATTTGAGACCTTGTGTATCTGTTGAGGTCATTTCAAGGTGTAATGTTTGTGCTGTATCTTTTATCCAGGTTTGGACTTCCTAAAACATCCTTTCACAGTGGCCAAGACCACTTGCTAATGGGACATCAGCCAGCTCCTTCCCCCCCACCACAGTGACTTTTGCAGCGTGGAGTGGTGGCCTGGCCAGCAGGCCTCATCGTCCATCCATGCCACCTGTGGTGGGACACGAGGAACAGCGGCTGCCATGCCTCCCCCTTCCCTGGCCACCCCTTGCCCCCCGTGCTAACCTGCATGGTGTGGATGCCTGTGGGACCCCAGAGGACTGACTGTCAGACCTGGCTTCCTACCCCGAGTAACAAGACCCCCAAGATGTCGCTCGAGTGGCTAGTGGCCTGGCGCTGGTCCCTGGATGGCTTGAGGGACTGCATCGCCAGCGGCATCCAGTCTGTGCGGGATTGTGACACCAGTGCTGTGGTCACCGTGGCATGCCTGCTGGTCCTGTTTGTGTGGTACTGCTACCATGTGGGCAGGGAGCAGCCTCGGCCCTATGTCTCTGTGAACTCACTCATGCAGGGTGCAGACGCCAATGGGGTGCAGAATGGGTACGTGTACTGCCAGTCACCCGAGTGCATGCGCTGCACCCACAGCGAGGGCCTCAACCAGAAACTCTACCACAACCTGCAGGAGTATGCCAAGCGCTACTCGTGGTCTGGCATGGGCCGCATCCACAAGGGCATCCGGGAGCAGGGCCGCTACCTCAACAGCCGGCCTTCCATCCAGAAGCCTGAGGTCTTTTTCCTGCCCGACCTTCCCACCACGCCATACTTCCCGAAGGATGCACAGAAACATGATGTCGAGGTGCTGGAGCGGAACTTCCAGACCATCCTGTGTGAATTTGAGACCCTCTACAAAGCTTTCTCAAACTGCAGCCTCCCACAGGGATGGAAAATGAACAGCACCCCCAGCGGGGAGTGGTTCACCTTTTACTTGGTCAATCAGGGCGTTTGTGTCCCCAGGAACTGCAGGAAGTGCCCACGGACGTACCGCTTGCTGGGAAGCCTTCGGACCTGTATTGGGAACAATGTTTTTGGGAATGCATGCATCTCCGTGCTGAGCCCCGGGACTGTGATAAATGAGCACTATGGGCCCACAAATATCCGAATCCGGTGCCACTTAGGTAAGTTGTGAGAACAGGGTCCCCTGGGGCACATTCACATCACAGCCTCTCTGACTAAGGGGATGTGAACATCAGGGAGCTCAGCCAGAATTATACCTTTGCTTCACTGTGCTTTTATTAAAAATTGACAATCGGCCAGGGATTTAGCTCAGTGGTTTCGCCGCCTGCTGCGCAAGTGCAAGGACCCAAGTTCAATCCCCGGTACCAAAAAAAAAAAATTTGATCATATGTAAATAATTATGATAACAGAAATTGCATTCCCCAGTGAAACCTGAGATTAGTATAAGCCTAATTTTTTCCTTTTTCCTTTCTTTTTTATTTTTTTATTCTTTGATCACTAGGGATTACACCCAGAGCTATGTCCCCAGCCCCTTTTTATTTTTATTTTGAGATATGATCTTGGCAAAATTAGTTGCCAAGTTGCCTGAGCAGGGCTTAAACTTGCACTCCTCCTGCCTCAGCTTCCCAGAGTGCTGGGATTGCAGATGTGAAGGTCCACAGCACATCAGGCTTTTTCTTTTTTTCTTTTTTTGGCAGTGCCGATGATGAAACCCAGGGCCTCGTGCATGCTAAACATATGCTCTGCCAAAGAGCCAGATCCCCAGCCCTAAATCTAATTTCTGAAAGAAGCTCTGTAAGAAGAACTTCCTGTGATGATGAAAATGTTCATTGTCTTTACTGTCCAACACAGTACCCACTAGCCTCGGGTGACTGTTCAGTGCTTGAAATGTGGTTAATGTGGGCCTGGGGTGCAGATTTGTGGAAGAATGCTTGCCTAGAATATGTAAGGTCCTGGATTCTATCCCCAGTGCTGAAAAAAACATTTATAAAATATGGCCAGCACAACTGGGGAACTAGTTTTGACTTCAGTAATCATGGTCACGTATGGCTAGTGACCACTGTCTTTTTCAGCATAGCTCTGGAGTCAAAGGCTGTTATAAAGATCACTGAGGACCTGAAGGAGTCCAGGATGCTATAAAAGGTGCTCAGCCCTTTTTGAGTCACCAAGGAGGAACTGATGCTTGGTGTTAAGGGTGTTTTACTCAGATTCTGGCAATATTGGTAATACGTGTACAGTGTGTGGATTTTGCAAACAGTGTCTGGAGTTAAGTCACCTTCGTTTGCACCCTAACCCTACCACCAGCTAACTGTCATTTTGGGCAAACTCCTCACACTCTGAGCCTGTTTCCTCATCTAGAAAGTGGAGGTTGAAAGATACTCCTACCCAGAGTTAGCTGGAGGATCCAGTCAGAGAGTGTGTATTGAAAGCATTCACACAGCCTGGTACAGGGCCAGCTGTCAGTAGAGGCTGGATAGCAGCAGCTCCATAAATAGGGCAGTGAGGCCTTCAGTGGAACGACACCCGATGCCTGGAGAATGGAGGTGGAAGGGTGGTTCCTGGATGGTGGCCTTGCTGGTGAGCATCTCAGACTAGAGTGTGCAGTGCGAGGCACGGCACCCAACTTTAAGAAGTGCCAGCACTGTCTTCAGGTGGGGGTGGAGGGGACAGCAAAAGGGTCTTTGTGTGGGCTGCAGCAGGGTCCATCAGTGTGTCCTCTGTTTTGTAGTACTGGGGATAGAACCCACATCCTTGATACAGGGATAGACCTGGGCCTAAGACTTGATATCTCTACTTTTGCTCCCTGAGCCAGAGGGAATCAGACCTATTTGGGAGGCTACTCTGAGGAGCTGTACCACTGAGCTACACCCTCAGCTCTTTTTATTTTGAGACAGGTTCTCACTAAGCTGCCACGATGACCTTGAGCTTGTGATCCTCCTGCCTCAGCCTCCTAAGTAGCTGGGATTACAGGTGCGTGCTACCATGCTGACTTCTTCAGTGTGTTCTGCAGAGAGCCTCAGGGCTGCCAGGGAGCAGTCAGAGCAGGGTAGTCTGGGCCCTGCCTCCCTTCTTTACCCACAGGGGCTCTGCACCCCCTGCTCTCCTCTGTGCTCTGGATAGATTCTGAGTAGCATGTGGTTTGCACAGAAGACTACTCCATAAAAAGAGAAGTGAGTAGATAGAGTCACTGACACCGACGTGCTGGGTGTTTCAAGAGTCAGTGCAGGGCAGACAGAGGTACAGTGGCAGGGTCTGGATTCATGGTCAGCTGTGAGCTTGGGCAGGTGGCTGAGGGTCTCTGGCCCATGGTGCCTGGCTTGCAAAGTGGAGACAGAGTACTTAGCGCACAGGGTTGCTGAGAGGGTTAGGGAAGTCACATCTTAAGTGGCCACTTGCACAGTGCCTGACATGTGACAGCATTCAGTAAATAGTATAAAACGATGATCTGTGTGACATGGCCTCTGCCCTCGGGAAACAGTGGGAGATGAGCAGGCATGGGAGGCACCAGACCCTAACACAGGCCCCACTCACCGCTGCTTACTCAGGGCACCTCGTGAGGCCTGAGACTTGGCACCTCCACTGCTCCCTAAGCTGGAAGAAATCAGACCTATTTGGGGAGCTGTTCTGAGGAGCAGTAATACGTGTGAAGTTCTTGGCAGGCAAGGGTTATCAGATAATCCTCAAAGCATATGTTAATCTGAGCGCTGACCACAGTCAGTAACCACTGGGCAGGGCATCAGGGCACACTCTGAGCAGCAGCCAGACTTCAGGTTGCAGATGGGGCGTCAGGGCAGTGGGGCTGGCCCTGGAGGATCAGGGGTGCAGAGGAGGCAGGCCTTCTCAAGTCTTATGGCAGCTGTGTCTAGGTTTTGCTGGCGTGGGCTAAGACTGGTAAGATGGTGGGGGGAACACAGGGGGACTCAGTACTGGGCAGGGGACTTGAGGCTATTGGCAATGGGGAACGACGCTTTGCATTTCAAAGGTTTCCCTGTAGTTTCTTTGTTTTTGTTTTTTGTGGTGCTAGGGATTGCGTCCAGGGCCTCATGCACAGTAAACAAGCATTCCACCCCTGAGCTGCATCCTCAGCCCCTACATGCTTACTTAAAAGCTTCAGAAGGATGGGGAGGGACAGGCGTTTGAGGATCAGTGGGACAGAGTTCTAGGCAGGTGTGTTGAGTAGGGAGAAAATCTAGGCTGTATTTCCTGTGTGTTAATGTGCCTTGTGCATCTGTACAATGTGTGTTTGTGTGTAAACACACCCACGTGGGCCTCATCATGGCCTGTTATTTCCTTCTTGGCCCAGCTAGTTAGTTGCCAAACAAAGTGTGTGTTGTGTGTTCCCCGTACAGCCAGGATCCTTCCTGGAAGCTATCCCACTGGTGCATGGCTGGTGCTCTGTGGCCGGAACCAGCCTGGAGGTCAAGTTCTCTCAGTTTCCTGCCTTACATGATCAGGCCCCTGTTAGTGTGCACCCAGGAAGGAAGTGAAAGTATGTTAGGTTTCTGTGACCTTGTATGTTGACAGAGAAGGAATGGAGAGGAGGTCAGAGGCAGAGGCAGCCTGGGGTGGACCTGGCTGGAGGCAAAGGAGACACCTGCAGTCCCAGAGCTGTGCTCTTGAGATGCCAATTCCTTCTCCTTCTCTGCTTCTTGCTGGGTTGTATATGATGATGGACTTGTCTCTGCAGACCTCGGCAGCCTCCCGCCACGCTCCTCACTTACCCCATCTGTTGGTTTGGTCCTCACCTGCTGAGCCCTGCTGCGACTTGCCTCTAGGGAAGTTGTCCCCACTCCATGTGGAACTACAGGACAACTCGTGGCCCAGCCATCACCTGGCAGGGTACACGGCACTGGGATGTGCCCACTACACTGCCACAGACTCCCAGAAACACCTCTGAGACCTAGAACTCGCCAGGCAGCTGTCACTAGGGAGACAGACACCACATGAATATGTATTCATGTGCTTAGCAGATTCGAGCTCCACAGGCACAATCAGGTGCCCCTTTGTCTTTTCTGTAGATATGAGGTTTCTAGGCAGTGGTGCTGGTGGAACCAGGATCAGCTCAAGTGTACCTGCCCCTCCCACACGTTGGCTCCAGTCTCCTGAAGTGAGGGACCGCTGGAGGCCAGAGCCCTTTCTCCACCCTCTTCCTGTATCCTTCTGGGGTCAGTGGGATCAGAGCAGCAAGCCCTAAGCCATAGAGGGGCTGTCCAAGGCTGTGTGTAGGGCTTATCTCTATCCCAAGAGTCCCTAGATAATCTGGGAAATCTTGCTCATTTTTGCCCGCTAAGCTGGTTGCTGGGGCTTCACAGTGATGGGCCATTGGCAGGCTGGAGCAGGATGTGGCTGGGTGAGGAGGACAAGAACAGGGTAGGGAGTCCAGCCAGCAAGCCAGCCCATTTCTCTCTTGCACCATGGCACACAGCAATGAGTCATTTAGCAGCCCAGAGGAAGGCTAGGCTCCTCCTGAGACCCTGGGCTAGACTGTTCCTGCAGAGAGGTTCTCAGTCCTAAAGGCCTTCTCTGCCTGCACCAGCCAGCACGGGGCACACAGAGCCCATGTGGCTGGCAGGGCAAGCGCCTTCACACCCCTCACGCCCCCAGAAGCAGGAAGTCTCGGTTTCAGGGTCAGATGGATGGTCTCGGCTTCTTTAGTGAGATGAGAATTGAAGCATGTTAACTTCATGAGATTCAGCAGTCGGCTCCCTGCTAATAACCTGTAACTAGCAGGTATATCACAGCACCCAGTTTCATAAGAGGCTGTTCTTTGGAGCCAGGTGGACTCAGGGCCAGTGAATACTAACGAGTAACTTAGAAGATCACATAAACTGCTTAGTTACTCTGTCTGGAATGATGAAGTGATGTCTGAAAAGTGTTTATTTAGCACAAATCTATTCAGTCTGTCTTCAGTTATTGGTAACAAGGATAAAAGTCACAAAAGTTATATATGCTAATGTGGCCTCTTACAGATGAGCAAGGTAGGACTCTGAGAGGTTGAGTTACTTGCCCAAAGTCACACAGCACATGAAGGTCAGAGTCCGAAGGGTAGTGTGCTCAGGTGCTCCATTAGGGGTGCCCCCACAGTGGGGCCAGGAAAATTACACTAAGAGCTGCCATCCTTGGGCCTCCAGTTGCATTTAAAGGTGGGAACTGAAAGAGGTGAGCACCACATGAACCTCCATTTTAAATTGCAGTGGTAGCAGCCCTAGAGGGTAAGCCATTACTGCACAAGGCAAGTTGAGCCTGGCTCCCTTGGGATCCAGGAGTCTTAAGGGTGGAGCATGAGCCTCAGGCCTGGCTTTCATCAAGGAGGCCAGGACTGGGGATGATGGAGCCCATGGAAGCAGAGGTTTTGCCCAATGAGGACTCTGGTGCACAGCCTGCATTTGCCTTACCAAACTCCCTGCTCTCAGACAGGCTGTCCTCATCCATATGAGCTGCTAGGACAGAATACCGTGGACCAGGTGGCTTCTAAACCAGAGATGTATTTCTCACTATTCTGAAGGCCAAGGTCAAGGTGCTGGCAAATTGGATGTCTGGTGAGGCTGAGGTCCCACATCTGATTCATAAATGATGCCTTCTTGCTGTGTCCTCAAGTGGCTGAAGGGGCAAACTCCCTCCCACCCCTTTTGTACGGGCATCCAGCCCATTCTCAAGGGTGCCTACCCTCATGATATCATCTCCTCCCAAAGCTCTGCCGCTTCATACTGTTATCTTGGCACTTAGGATTTCAACATAGGAACTGTAGGGGACACAGATGTTCAGAGCCTAGTATGGGCTCCTGAGGTGTGAGCGGGAGGCCGGAGCCGTGGAAGCGGAAAGCCTCCCCAGAGCGACCAGCCCTTGCCTTCCACCTGCCTGGATCCCACCTGCCTTCACTCTCTTCTCTGTTCTTCCACTAGGTCTGAAAACTCCGAGTGGCTGCGAGCTGGTGGTGGGGGGCGAGCCTCAGTGCTGGGCAGAAGGCCGCTGCCTCCTCTTTGATGACTCTTTCCTGCATACTGCATCCCACGGAGGTAAACATCAGCCTTCCTCATTGCTTTCTCTTTTTTAAAAAAATCAGTAGACTATTTTTAAGAGAAATTTTAGGTTTCCAGAAAAAAGCTGAGCAGAAAATACCAAGTTCATGCCTTCCCATCCCCCTCTCCTCAGTGCATGTGTGGGCCTGCACATGCTCGCATATAATTTCCCAGTCTGTAGTAGTGATATACATATTATAATTGATGAGCTAGTGTGCACAGTTATCACCCAGAGTCCACAGTTTACTGTAGGGTTCATTCATGATGTTTTTTTCTGTGGGTTGGAACAAGTATATGTCATACAGAGTAGTTTCCCTGCTGTATTAGTCATCTTTCCATTGCTGGAACAAAATACCTGACACCCACAACTTAAAGGAAAAAGGTTTAATTTGGCTCATGGTTTCAGAGGTTTCAGTCCGTGGTCAGCTGGCTCCAAGGCAGGAACCATATAACAGAAGGGTGTGATGGAGCAAAGCTGCTTACCTCATGGCAGCCAGGAAGCAGAGAGCAGGGGGACAGCCAGAGAGAGGAAGGGGCTGGAGATGAGCACACAGCCTCCCAAGTCACGGCCCCAGTGACCTGCTTTCTCCATCTAGGGCCCACCTCTTAACAGGATAATCAGCTGTGAACTCATCCACACATTCAGCCCCTGAGAAGGGTACCTTCCAAAAGGTACATGAGCTTTTTGAGGAGGACACTTCATATTTAAGTCATAACAATTGCCGAAAATGTCCTCTGCACCCCACCCAGCCACCCCTCCTTCCCTCTCCCTGTTCCTTTTTCCCCACCTTGCTCAGAACCTCATGAAGCCATATGAGCATTCCCAATCAGAGAAGGAAGGTCTTCCAGTCTTCCAGTCCAGGGCCCTGTGCCAGGTCTTGGCCTTGGTGGACTGAACCTCTCCTCTTCCCTGCAGGTTTGGCCGAGGATGGCCCACGGGTGGTCTTCATGGTGGATCTGTGGCATCCCAACGTTGCAGCCGCCGAGCGGCAGGCCCTGGATTTCATCTTTGCTCCAGGACGATGAGAAAACTGCCTGTGCAGGAGCTGGTATGGGGCAGGGAGCCAAGGTGGCCACAGGATGGTCCAGCCACACCTGAGCCTGGATTCCATGCTCAGAACCTATCTCATTGGGACCCTCTCCTGGGGATTTCCTGTCACACGGGATCCCTCTTTTCTTTGGTTACTGTAAATGGAAAATTTTCAGCTTATATTTCCTTTGATTTCTTTTTTTCCTTCCTATCATTTGCTCTGGAGATTCCTTTCTGGCCTACCAGTGCGTCCCTTTGACTCTGTGACCAGAGACTTGGTACCCTTTCCGGTCTTGTTCCATTGCTACGTGGGTTTTTTCAGTGTTCTGAAATAGAGTAACCAAACAGTTTCCTGTCTGAATGTCATCATGTAAAACTTCTTGTGGTCATCTTCAAAGAAAAAACAAAACACAAGCCAGAGAGTTGGAGAGCTCTGCTTCTGATGCTGGCATACAGGAGGCCTTTACTACCCCACGCAGGGACAGTCAGTATTCCGTGCCCCTGGCCGGCTTCATTAGTGCAGGGAGGGGCTGCCAGACACTGTCAGAGCTGGTGTCTGGAGTCAGGGCCAGGGAGATTGTCACCATTGCTGTCTCACTCCAGATTGTCAAGTCCCAGCTGGCAAGAGTGCTGCGCTGGAATAACCAGAGGACTTTCTGTAAATGTGCTTTCCAACTGAACTAAGGCCTGTGTCCTCAAGAGTGAGGTTGGGGCTCCCCAAAGTCAGCCACATAATGGGATCCATTTACCGCACTGCGTACAGAACCAACTGCCACACTGGGCCTTGATGCCTCCTGCTGTAGCTGCTTTGAGTCCACAGTGGTGGAGGTTAGACCATCAGGTTGTCTAGTGGGAGCTGTGCTGGGCCTCATGATGGCCTGGTGACATTCCGGGAACACTCTTCCCTGCCAAACTGGAGTCCTGATCTGACCATGGTGTCTGACTTGCTTTGCAGTTTTATTGCCTGATTTTCACTTATCTGTCTATAGGTAAATGTTCAAATCCTAGACTTGGAGACAGTGGAAGACTGTGGAAGTCCTGGGTCTTCTTCATTGCACAGGGGTGTGTACTTAGTGACAGTAACCCAGGCCAGTGTGTTCCAGGAGCCCTGGTCCCCGTGGTGGCCTTTTGGTCTCCTGTGAAGGACACTCAGATCTTATTCCAAAGGGAAGGGCCCCCAGAGGCCAGTTTGAGGCCCTAAGTCAAGAAAGCTGCCTCTTGTTTGCCGATGCAAGTGTCGCCTCCTGGCCACATTAGAGATGCCTTTTGGAACAATGTCCAGCCTCGGCTGCAGCAAGCCTAGAAGTGCATGGAGCGTACGACTGTCACATGCACTGGAGTGGTGTTTCTGTCTGCATGCAAACCCACGGCTGCTCTGAAAGGCAGCTGTCAGAAGGAAACACCATCCGAAATGTATTAGGTAGTTATCAGCCCGTGTGCAGAGATCACGTCTGTGTTTGAGTTTTAAAACATCCACACAGGGATATGTTCCAGTAACTAGAATGCAGAAAATGGCAGAAATTTTAAACACACCTGAAGTCTTTGTGCTCATTAAGTCTCTTGTTACAGAACCACTCAGGTGCATGACTTCTACACATAGCGACCGTTCTGCTCCATGTTTACAAAGCCAACATCCCGTTCCCCCAGTCCCTTGGGACCTGGCTGCCACACTCAAGTGGCATGATTGGGGAGCAGAAGATAAATAAAGGATCTTGCTGAAAACCAGAGTAACGTGGTAAAGTCATCTGTTGGAAAGAAGATGGGGCCTGTGAGTGTGGCTCTTGGTTGGTGAATCCTGTCAGGGAGCCAGGTGGGCCACCACAACGGATGGTGAATACTGAATGAAGCCAAGGTGCTTCTAAAATACTGCTCATGGGGCAAGGGACTTGTGCTCATCTCTGAAATATTAAGGAGCTACAGATAACAAGCAGGCAAAAAATAGGACTTTGGTTTCAGTACTGCTAAGGGTTTAAGACTCAGTGGCAGCACTTCACTCCCTTGTCACTTTGGACAAGTCACTGACCTTGTCAAGCCTATTTCCTTCTCTGTAGAGACAGAACATAGCACATAAGGGCACACAACGGCAGAAGTAGCTTCCTATCTGCCACAGCAACGACAAGGGGTAGAGAAACAGAGGTGCAGGAAGGGTGGTTCATTTCTTCCCTTTGTCTTAGAGGAGGGATCTAAGTGATGTGGGTGGACCGGAGCCCCAGCAGCAGCCTGGCTCCTGGCATTTTTGCACACAAGCCCAGTCCCAGCAGGACTCCCCTCTGGGCTGCTGATGTAGGTGGAAAAAAAGAGCACCTCTCACTCAAGGCCAAGATGTTTCTCACCCTCCTAGTGTGTGCACTGCCAACTAGGCAGTTGCTAAAGTAATTTACATGATGTAGCAAGGGATGCTCAAGGTGAGAAAGGGGAGCCACCCAGCTGTCCAGCTGCAAATGGGAACTGCTGTCTGCCAGCCCAAGTGTCTTATCAGGTGCCCCTTGTGCCCTTGCAGTCATGGCCAGCCCAGTACTTGATTTGCACATGGTCACTCCCAGCTCTCCTGACCTTAAATCTTTCCTCCCAGGCACCTATTTGTCATCCCCTAGAGTCACGCCCTCTCTGGGTTGTCTTTAGTGACAGTGATCAACGTGTAACACTGAGTGCCCTACAGCATACAGTCAGGGAGAGGAAGGGCCTACCTGATCCACTCCTTGACAGAAATGCTGGTGCGCAGCCCCTGCCCCAAAGCATCTTCTCTGTTGTGGGAGTGGGGCCCAGGCAAGACTATTTTTTGTAACTTACTTCCTGTTCTAATATGTAGCGGGGCTGAGGGTGGCTGCTCTGAGTAGCAAGGCCAGTAAGGGCCCAGAACTAGCCAGCTGGAGAGTCAATCCCAGGCTGTGTCCCTGTGTGATGCTAGGCAGCCCCCCAACCCTGGCCTCCAGAAGACCAACACTTTTTAATCTTTCTTGCCAACCAGACCTGAAGAGCTTCCTGCAAGTCTGCAACAGCCCTGTGCTCAGTGCTTGGGTTTTTAGAGGCTGACCCAGCTCAGCTCCAGGCCAGCCCAGTCAGAACCTCCTGGCTTCTGGCCACCCTATCGGACAGGGCTGGCATGTGATCCAAGTTCTTTGCCTGGCACTGTTGAGAAGGGGAGGCAACTTTTCATGGAGTGGCTTTGAGGACTGAGTGGGAGGAAAACCTGCGAGCCCCACAGAGGCAACCAGGTCCCACCCTGTACAGATCATCTGCATCCTGAATGCCGCTTTGCCGGAAGCTAGATCTGTCTCTGGACTTTTTAGTTTCATGAGCCAATAAACTCCCTCTTGTTCTTCAGCCATATTTGAACTGTGATTTCTATCCTTTATCACCAAAAGGTACTAATCTGTACTGAGTTCCATTATGACCTGGCCTCATGCCTCCTTTCATAGGCTTAAAGTGAGGTTTGGCTAATTAGATAGTATCTCGTAAAGTTCTGGGAGGGTAGGAGGCACCCATATGTATTTTTTAGAATGTAAACAGGAGTAGCAAAAGCTAAGAACAAAATGCCTTTGTTGTTTTCTTCTTGTGGTCCTGGTGATTGAACCCAGGCCTCACATATGCTAGGCAAGTACTCTACCACTAAGCTACATCTAGCACCTTTTTAAAATTTATTTATGTATGTATGTATGTATGTATATATGTATGTATGTACAGGGATCAAACTCAGGACCTGCGCTTGTGAGGCAGGTGGCAGCACCACTAAGCTAAATCCCCGGCCCCATCTTTTATTTTATCTTGAGACAGAGTCTTGCTGAGTTACCCAGGCTAGCCTTGAACTTTCAATCCTCCTGCTTCGACCTCCTGAGTAGCCAGGATTACAGGTGTGTGCCTCTGCCTGGCCAAAATGCTGTTTTTAAGGATCAGCTTGCCCACTGCCAGTAACCTTCCATAACAGCTGACTTGCTAACCAGATGTAAACAAAGGGAACAAGACAGAATAAGGCCACATATTTTAGAGCTTTTGCCAGATGGCAGTGAAAATACTCCAGCAGATTGTAGCATTAGGTGGCAGGAGGCGACACATTCAGGGACTGGGTTACTTCCCGCCTCCTTCCTGGGTGCATGTGTTGGTCCTAACTTCTTTTTACCTGCCCTCCCCAGTCCCCCCATATCCATGTGTGAGCCACCCCCAAATTCACATGGACATTAACACATGGCAGAACCAGGCTCAGCCCTGCTTGGTGGGACAAGGCCATTTAGCCAGCTGGACAGAGCTGGAACTGGAAGCTAGGTATACAAGCTTGGTGCAGTTGGCCCTCCATATCCGAGGGCTCCACAATCACAGATTCAACTAGCCTCAGATCAAAAATATTTGGGAAAAAAAATGTGTCTGCACTGAACGTGTACAGACTTTTTTCTTGTCATCATTCCCTGAACAATACCAATAGAACAACTATTTCCATAGCATTTACATTGTAAGAGGTAAGTAATCTAGAAAGGATTTAAAGTCTATGGGAGGATGTGTACAGGTTATATACAAATACTGCATTATAAAGGACTTGAGCAGGGATTTTAGTATCCACGGGGATATCTGTCCCTGCAGATAACCCAGGGACAACTGTATGTTTGCCGGGGTCTGGACACATCAGCTTCATCCTGGTGTGCAGAGGGACCCCAGAGAAGCTGGCTGCCTTCTCCACACATTCCTGGAACCCTTTTTCTTGAGTGCCTACAAGAGGCGCCCCCTTGCATACATCACTTTCTCCTCTCTGCTTTAGAGGATACTTATGGTCCAATAGAAATAAAGTTCCAGTTTCTACAGTAGGAATGTGCAGAGCGGATGTGGACCCAGCTCTGGCACTCAGGCCCCTGTGCCCTGCTGTTGTGGCTGGCAGCAGCTGTGGATGCCTGGGAGGTGAAAGGCAGCGCCTGTAAGCAGCCAGGTTGGCTCAGCCCCGTGCTGAGCACTCTGCCTGGCCACCAGGAGCAGGGCTGCCACTGGGCGTGGACCTGAGTACATATGGGCAGCCCTAAAACAGCCTCTGGCTTTTTACTGCCTTCCAAAAGCAGCCTGGATTATTGTGTTCACAGCAGCCACAGCTTGGTTCCATTCAGACATTTGAAGGTGTCCATTTTTCACCTTGGAGTCCCTAGACTTCATCTAAAGCTTCCCAAACTAAATGAGTATGTTGGGAAAAGATGCAGAGTATCTTCTTTTCCTAAGCTACAATGACAGATGTTGCTTTTGCCCCCAACCTTGCCATCTCCTCCCAGAGGGGTCCTATGGCAGTCAGAATGGAGCAGAGCCAGGGACAGGTGCCTTCTTGTCCTGATGCTCCCTGCCTAAGACAAGTGAGCAGTGGAGGAATGGGTTCAGGCATGTGCATGTTTGTGCATGCCTGTGTCCGGCAGGTGGAGTACATCCGCTGTATTTCAGTGTCTCTCAGCTGTCAGTCACCTGCTCACTCCATAAGCTCCTTAGGAGCAGGAATCTCCTTGGCTCCTTTCCCACCTGCAGACAGTGCCTGTCACCAAGTAGGCACACCCCCTGTCCTCTCCCTATCTCACTGTGTCCAGGTGCCACTGCTTCCCACCTCCTGAGTGCTCATTCCTTAGATCTGCCCATGGTCTAGCCCTTCCCAGCTCCAGTCCACTCACCCCTCTGCCTGGACAGCTGCAGCCTGTTAGTGCCTTGCTCTCTCTCACTGGCTTCTCATCTGGCAAGAGCTGGGGACTCCTGCTGAGAACAGGCGAGCCATCCTGCTTAGTCTCCCATTTGCCTGGCACCTCTGCAATTTCAACCTCAAGAGGTCTCACCTCTCCCACTGTCCACCGGTGCTCCATGCTGCACTCCTGAAGGAGGCTGAAGGGCAGGCAGCAAGTTTGCACATGGATGTATTAGTTTCCTGTGACTGCTGTAACTAAGTGCTATAAACTTGGTGGCTTAAAACAACTGAAATTCATTCTCTCACAGTTCTGGGGGTTTAAAGTGCAAGATCAGCTTCACTGGACCTAGATTCCACATGTCCTCTGTAGGCGCCCGGACAGAATCCATTCCTCGCTTTTTCCAGCATCTAGTGGCCTTGGGCTTCCTGGACTTGTGTCCCTTCAATCTCTACCTCCCTGTTCACATGGCCTTCTCTGGGGGGCTTATCTCCCTTGGCATCACCCATGGAAACACACTGTGATGGCATCTATGGCCGAGCTGGATAATCCCAGATAATCCTCCATCCTAAAACTGTACTCCACACACTGCACAGACTCTACCACACCAAGTGCAGGGACGGGGACCTGATGTCTTTGGGGACCACTACTGAGCCTGCTGCCCTGAGCCTGTGGCCTGCTGCAAGAAGGCCCACACAGAGGAGGATGTGTCTGTACTGACCCACTTAGGGTTATGGGAGTAACTGGATGGAGCGGGAGGAGCATCTCAGCCAACCCTGGAAAGGAGCACACAGGGATAAAATGCACCAGAGAGCTGCAAGCGAAGGTGACTACAACACAATCCTAGTCTCCGCTTGCTACCACTACCCATGACTCCCACTGTAGAGTTGACTGAGAGCAGATGATGCCTAGATGCCTCCCTCCAGGGAGACTCCAGGAGGCAGACTGATTAGGCTGTTTCCCTGGGGATCAGAGGTTCTTTCCCAGGGAGAATCTGACAGCCACTATTAACCTCTCTTGGGAACATGATCCTTCCTGTTCACAGGTGGTAGATGAAGCAGGAACTGACCCAGAACAGAGCCTCTTAGTCCTTCCCCTCCTGTGTCGTCAGCTGTGCAGTCTGTGGAGTCTGTGGTCTGGGTTGCAGTGGCACTCTGGATGTCAACTGTGACAACAGGGCAGGCCATCCTGCAAATTCCTCCTACCCACTCTGCCAGAGGAGGATGCAGTGCTCACTGCAGCAGGAAAAAGCTGCTAAGGCCTCACTGGGCTGCTGTTCTGAGGACACCTCACTCTCAGAGGTTAATTTTGAGCATATGAGCCTGGAGCTGTGTGTAAGTCACATCTTCAAAGCCCCCCTGGGGCCCTCAGATATTGGAACAGGAAGCTGGGGTTTAAGTGTTCATTTCCCAGCAGTCTCCAGGCCACAGGATCTGAAGATACCGGCCCAGCTGCCAGGCCCCCAGGGCTCTGAGTGACTAAGTGGTGCCTCTGCTGTGAAAACAAAGCTGGACCAAAGGTTTAAACCCAAGAGGACGGCAGCATGTGTTTCAGGACTTGACTTTTGTAACTTAACTGCTGCTGGATTAAGATTTAGGGACCCCTTTTCCATACACAAGAGATGGGACACGGAACATTCCATTTTGGCAGTAGAAGGTTCACAACACAAATGCATGAGAAAAGCTGTCCTCGCTGGTCTGGTACTGGGAACATTTCTGGGAAGATTGGTACCAAGGGCCTCAAACACTTCAGGAACAGGAGCACACTGTGGGAGACCACTCCAGGTGGACCACAGGCTGTGTAAGCAAAATGTGAAGAGCCTGCCCCTTTCCCCTACTCCTGCTGCACCTCATCCCTGTGGAGATATCCTAGGACCAGAGTGTATTTCTGGCTGAGATCTCTCCCCTGCTACTGCCCTGCCCCCAGCCTCTACAGGTAAGTTTCCTCAAACTGCAGGGAGTGACCTGGGATGCTGGAGATTGCAGAGATGCCAGGGCAGGCCCCGGAGAGAAGCAGAGACCCAGCTGGCCATTCACTGCAGCTCTGGAACTGGTGGAAGGAAGCTATGGGAGGGCTCTGTGTTTCCTTGTCCAGCCTAGTTCTCCACAGTGGGATGCAGGTGGTGGTGTGCCCCACTGAAGCTGTCTAAGCAGAGTGCCCTCTGCTACAGGTCTATGGATATTGGGTTCATGGATGGGAGGTGGGCATCAAATGTATCGGTTACCTACTGCTATACAACAAGTTATGCCCACCCCCAGAGATGCTTCGTACACACGTTTTTCACCTTGCTCTTTCCAAGGGTTAAGATGATCAGAAGTGGCTCAGATGGTGTCTGATTTGGTTTCTTCTGCAGCTGCAGTCAGGATGTGGCTGGGGCTGTCTCTCACCTGAGGCTCGGCTAGTGCTGCAGGACCTGAAAGCTGATGTGGCTACTGGGGCTGCTGGCTGGAGGCCTGAGTTCCTCACCTCCAGGGCTCACAGTGCTGGTCGCACATTCTCAAAATGTGGTAGCCAGCTTTTCCGAAAATGAGTAAGCCGAGAGACAGAAACTCTAATGTGCTCTGTAACCCACCCTTAGAAGTCATGCTCCACTATCTTTCCCACCTTAGCTGCAAATGCATAAGTACGGTCCACACACAAGGAAGGGGACCAAGACTCCTAGATTGCAGTCCAGAATTTATAGACATAATTTTAAATGGGCCCAGCACGTGGGTCTTTACATTCTTCTGCACTTGTGATATTTGTGACATGCTCTTCCTTTGGTTAAGGCTCAGCTTTGGAGGAAGCTTTAAAGGGAAGCTGTAGCACTGATTTTTAGAAACAAGTACATTTTATATTTAAAACATTTTTAGGCTTAAAGCAGCCCTATGAAAAAAGATGGAAAGAGAGTTTTTGATTTTTTTTTTTAAACAGACCAAATAAGATCTGCTGGTGGCTTGGATGTCCAGGGAAGGCCGGAGGGACAGCCAAGAGGCATTCTTGTGAAACAGAGCTTGTTTGGGAAAGAGTTCTCAAATGCAAGAAGTTAGCTGAACTGCCAGTAGGCAGAGAACAGCTCTGAGGTCCAAATTCTGTCCACATTTCAATACATAGCAGGTTGTAATTTCACCAAGTTCAAGAATGAGCATCAATCAGCGTGGCTGCTTGCAGATACCCCAGTGACAGGAAAGGAATGAGCTATGTGTAAGTCTGTCATGGGAAGGGCCCTTGAGAGGCTGGCACAGAAACTTTAATGAATTGTTTCTTGGAGGACTGATCAGAGGCAGACAATACACTTATCCTAGCTCAAGGTAGGATCCTCCTCCATCTGGCAAGGTGACTATCTTTGGCTGGCCAGTGACTGGAGGGACCCTGGAGAGAGGAAAGAGAAGGTGTCACAGGCCTGGTGTGCTCGCTGGGGTGTGGCTACAGCCCACAGCTCCTTAACTGGCCACATTGAGTTCAGGGAAGGAGAAGTGTCCCTGGAAAAAAAATGCATGGTTGGTCCTCTTTACCTGTGTAATCTGTATCCTAGGACTCAACTAGCCGCACAGCAAAGATAATCTGGGAAAAAAATTTATCTGCTCCAGACATGTATAGATGATTCCTTGTCATTATTCCTTCAGATAGTTCAACAACTACTTCCATAGAATTCACATTGTATTAGGTATCATGAGTGATCTAGAGAGGATTAAAAGAATATGGGAGGATGGGTTGATTTTATGCAAATACTATGTGATTTGGGACACAGGACTTCAATATCCTTAGATTTTGGTGTCCATGAGGGGTCTGGGTGCGCGCGCACACACACTGATGCTCACCTTAACTTTGTTGCTGGAAAGGTTACAATTATTCATGATTTTTGACCTTTTTATTTTTAGCCCTTGGAAACTTGTCTCAAGAAAAGACACATTATAAGATAATTTTTTTTTTTTGGTACTGGGGATTGAACTCGGGACCTTGCACTTTTGAGGCAGGCAGCGGAACCACTGAGCTAAATCCCTGGCCCAACACATTATAAACATGAGATATTGTTCACTGACATGAAATCATTAACATCATCATTTTCAAATGGCACTTTAGGTACTGGCAGTAAACATTCAGTTGAGATTCAGCCTGCAATATGCATCATATTATCATGAAAGGCTTGATTAGAAGTGGCAGAGCCGATGTGTGAGGTGCCACATGGGTCCAGAAACACAGGACCGCATGCTGTTCCCTTCATCACAGCCACCACAGGAAGGCGCAGTCTTATTCTACCCCCACTGTCTTGGATGCTCTTATCTGGGACACTCACCAGAGGTAGAGCACAGCCCTTCCTTCCCAAAGGCAGCACAGACCAATTCTGCACTACCCTCCCCATATGATACGGTGACCTCCATGGCCCCATCTCTTGTGTGCATCATCAGGACTTGGCCCACTGCTGTATTCCGAGGACCCGGCTGCCCTCTTTCCCAGACCTCCCAGGAGGCCCTCTTGGAGACACCCTGAGGAATGGCACTGGGGACAGCCTGGTAACAGACCCACCTCCTCACGGTGCAGCCAGGCCCAAACACCCACCTGGTTGCACGGCCGAGGACTCTAGGATGAGGAAAGCCAAGTTCTACACAGTGCTGCCCTGGAATGCTGTGGCAGCCATTCAGGCCAGGATGGAAGCAGTAGGAAATACTAAATGGCTCCGGCTGTGGCTGTGTGACCAAAAAAACTACCCTGAACCTCTTTGGTACGAGGAGATAAGATGCCATCTTGGCCCAATGCTGCTGGTATAATCGAGTTCTTTACCAAGTGCGCTGTGTGTGCAGACCCCGAGAACAGCCGCCATACACACATCGCAGTCTGCAACAGGAGCACCAAACCCCAAGTATTATGTTCCTTAAAAGGGACTACTCCAAGAAAAATAAAAGAGGGACCTTTTCCATTATAAAAGGCAGAGCTTCCTTTGCTGGTGCAGTCTCAGGGCTGTTGCTGGGCAATGAACCTGGGGTGAGGCCTGGCTCACAGCAAGTTTACTCCATGCTTCAGCAGCTTCTGCTTGGCTTTGCCCGCCAGGCTGAAGGCTCCATCCTGTGGGTTCGGGAAGCCGGAGCTCCGGGTGTCGGACATCAGTGGCTGGAAGTAGGTCTCTTGGGCAGGGCTGCAGCAGGCATACACAGCCGTGGAGGCGTTCCTATCAGAAAAGGGAAGCAGACAATGGTCCCAGGGGGCCAGCAGGAAGCTTAGCCACAGAGATGTCGATAAGGTTGTCCCTTGGATGCCAGCATATCAAATGCCGTGGTGTGCAGTGTGTGGCTTAAGATTTGTTTTATTCATTTGAGTTTCAGGCCTCAGTGCCAACAGCAGTCTGCCTTTCAACTCACTGCAGGCCAAGAGAGTCCACAGTAGGATCTGAGATCTCCAACCATGTCCCCACGGGGCCTCAGTTTCCCCTAGTCTAGCATGAGAGTGGAGTCAGAGACCACTAAGGCTCCTCTCCCTCAGATCACTCTTGTATTGAGGAGGAGAATTCTACCCTTTCCTGGTTCTCCTGCAGGGATCTTGGGGTCTGAAGGGCTGGCTAACTTAAGTGTCCTTACCTCTGGCCACACCAGGGGGTCAAGCTCTTCACACAGCCATGGGAGGCACTGTGGCCCCAAAGTTCTAAGGTCAGGTCTGGTTTAGCAGCTGGGTGTGAATCCCAGCACCACCTCCTAGCTGTGCGCCCTATGCTGGGTTACTCAACCTCTCTCTGAGTCCTAGCTCTTTCATCTGTACAGTGGATCTGACAATGGTATGTCTCTTCGTTGAGGGTTTGTTAAAAAGAGACTGTGTAGTAGAAACAGATATAAATTGCTTAGCACATGGGGAGTGGTTAAGAGAGGGCAGCTGTGGTCTCCACTGGTGTTATGGAAATAACCTCCCATCAATTCCCTTGAGCTACGATCCCTCTCAGCTCCCAGGAAGGTGAAATGCCACAGCTTCGAGGGGGCTGGTGGAGCAGATGCTGACATTTTACTTGCTGCCACCTCCCACAGAACAGCCACACACACCGCAACCCAACCGGGACCCAAACCAGTGCTGCAGATGCGGCTCATGCCCAGACTGCCAGCCCGGGGCAGCTCTGAAGTACAGCTAGAGAAGGCTCACTGATGATAGGAAGAGCAGTGAGGTGCCAGCTGGGGACGGTGTGGCAGGTGACAGGGCATCAGAATGGCACCACATGGATTTCCTGTGTGCCTCAGTGACCAGGGGCCCAACCCACCCTCTTGCCAAAGCTGCCCCTTCAAACTAAAACCTGTGAGGGGAAAGTATACACATAGGTTCAAATCCTAGCCCTGCAGTGCAGTATGAATATGGCCCCAGGACAAGCTGCTGATTCTCCTGGTGCATGCATTTCCTCAAATGTGAATTGAGAAAAGAAATGCACTGGACCGAATCATTCCAAAGGCTAAACAGAAAATCATACATGCCCTTTCTGGCCATCAGTCTTGCCTTATTTTCTGCTGTTTCCTACTCTTTTTTTTTTTTTTGGTACTGGGGATCGAACTTGGGTCCTTGCGCTTGCAAGGCAGGCGGTGGAACCACTGAGCTAAATCCCTGGCCCTTATTTTCTGCTGTTTCATGAGAGACAGAACAAAACAATTTGGTTGGGTAAATACTGTAAATTACAACAATAACTTACAGACCTATATCTATGCAATGGCATGAGAAAATCAACCGGAAAACAGTACATTAGTACAATCCTCTTTTCTAGAAAAAAACTATAAGCTAATTAAAATAAAAACACTTATAATCCATATTTTATGTACAAAAATAAAAACCAGGAGTAACACATAGCAAAGGAGAAATGTGATTATTTCTTGGGTATGGGATGGACAGAGGAAGGAAATGCCTTACTTTACAGATTCTGAGCACCCTGAATTTGTTTTTAATATGAGTATGTATTGCTTTTTTCAATCTGAAAGACAACAATGTAATTTCAACATCACTTCCAGCAAGGACACACCTCAGAACGGGGGCGACTCCATGACAGTGAGGATTTTGGGTTTTGTCACTGATTGATCTGAGTGTCTAAAGCAAGGAGGGACCTAAAAAATCCCTGGCACATGAATGCATGAGAGCAGATAAAGGAGGGTCTCGAACACAGTAACCAGAATGTTCTTCCCTGGGGGCTGGCGCACTAGTGGCCTGGCCCAGAGAGGGTCCCTGTGAGCTGGACTGTGGGGGAACAGGCCTGGGGTGACTCCGGAGGCTCACCTGACGGTCATCTCGTACAGTGTGGGCTGCTGGGCGAAGTCCGAGTGCATGAGGCTGATGGCTTGGAGGAAGTGGCGGTCTTGGGCTGAGGCCACCGGGGGAAGGTTGGCTTCCAGGGAAGAGGACACAGAGGTGGTGAGTAGCGGCCCCTCCACTCCCACAGGACTTGGTGGGTGGGCTCAAGGCTCAGAGTGAGGATGACGAGGAAGAGAGAGAGAAGTAGACACAGGCAAGGTACCACCATGCCACCACGTTCTGCCTGTCCCCCAGGAGCCGCAGCCAGTTCCTACACAGGACTTCAAAATTCTAGGCAGACCGCATCAGGGATATCTGAGCAGCAGTGAGTTCCTCTCACAACACGGGGGAAACACCACACAAAAACAAGCCAAGGGGCGTTTGCTGGGTGGGGCTGGGTTCCCAGGGAGTCGGCACCCTGACCAGGGGTCAGCTACTGTGGCAGTCCCAAGTTGTCCCGCTCTGCACCCTGTCAGCCCCTTACCCGTGAGCACGTTCTGGATGTGGTCGTGGTGCACGAAGCTGTAGGTGCTGGCTGAGGGACCAGCTTGGTCTCTGGGCAGCGTCTCCTTCAGGTGCACCTCCAGTCCATTCAGGGACGCCAGGCTGCTGTGGTACTACAGAGGGCAGGGACAGGGTCGCAGGTAGCAGCACTGGCCTCACAGCCCTTGCAGGGCCTCCATCTGACTGTGAGTTTGGTTAAAAATCCCCTGAAGGATTTAGCTCAGTGGTTCTGGTGCCTGCCTCGAAAGTGCAAGGTCCCGAGTTTGATCCCCAGTACCAAAAGAAAAAAATCCCCTGAAGGTCACAGGGGCTCCTTGATTTAGCCAAAATGGACTCTGATGTTTCTGCCTGTTTTCAGAGAAGCACTAACTCATGCCCTATGTTCTACTGTTTCTAAATTAAGAAACATATTTTAGAAAATAAGAAAAGAGAACTGGGCAGAAAACTAAAAAAAAAGAAAAGAAAGCAAGGAAAAATTGCACATAATCTCACTACCATCAGTTCCCACCATCGAACCTCCCCCTCTAACCCTGGCTTCCCTGGGGCAGTGCGTTCAACAGTGGCCACGGTCTGGGACCATCCCAGTGGCTTTCAGCTGGGCTAGAGTGAAGTCCCCCAACAGATGGCAGGCCCTAACATCTCTCCACCACACTGACATCGGTGCCTTTCTTAGGAGACTGACAAGTGTCACTCTGGTTCCTTGTGTTGGCTCAGGGAGGAACCTAGTTGAGGACAGCTACCAGGGAGATGAGGCCCCCATGCCTGCATTTTTCAAAACCTCCCAATAGATGAGCAACATGTAAATCTAGTTGTAACACTGAACTATACCTTTTTCTATAATTTTTTATATAAAATAAAAATGGGATCAAAACCATAAATAGTAATGGATATTTTCTAACCTAATGACACAGCATGAGCTACATACCTGGTCCTTAAAGCCTCTACAGCATCATTCCATAATGGGCACATGGTATTCTTCAGGCTGAGCTTAGGGCTGGACTGAGGACATCAGTTACGTTTGTGTAGGCTCCATCTGAAATGGGGCCTCCTGGGGTTGCTTTAGCCACAAGAAGACCACTGTGCCCGAGCACTAGACAGTTCCCAGGTAAAGACATCTGAGCTCAGCGACTTCCTGGCCAGGTGACCAGAGGCAAGCTATTAAGTTTCCTGTGCTGGTTTTTTTTTTCCACCTGCAAAATGGCTTACACCGAGAGGGCAGAGTTATATAAAAGGCCATGTGCTCAGGAGAGTAAGGCACAATCTCCCATGGTCAGATGACCTGAATGCCTAGCCAACACTGAGCATAGCAGACACTAAGGAGCCTCCCATGTGGACAGGCATGTGTGCGTGTGAGTACACACAGGCACCCGCAGGCATTCACCATGAGGTCAGACCACAGCCTCGCCAGAAGTTTCACAAAGGCACTGAACCATGCTAAAACCTGGTTTCCCTGCAGGCACTGAGCTCTGCTTCCAGAATCTTCTGCCTAACTTGTACTCAAGATAAAATCACTTAGCCACCAACAGTTAACCACAAGATGTTATGTCAGATGACACATGGACAATTTGTACCAATAACTAAGTGCTTTCATTGACACTAGGGGTCAGCAAACTATGGCCTATGAGCTAAATCCAGCCCAATGCCTGTTTTTTGTATAGCCTGAGAAGAATGGTTTTTATATGGCTTTTATATTTTTATATGGTTGGGGGAAAATGTATAATACTGTGATATGTGAAAATTATCTGAAGCTCCAACGTCCATATTCATAAAGTGCTACTGGCAGACATCCACACCAGTTTTTTACATATCGTCTATGGCTGTTTTTGTACTGCAGTGGCAGATCTGAAAAGCTGTGCAGAGCTCAAAATAGCCGCTTTGGGGTCTTTACATAAAGTTCACCTACCCTGATACATAAAGTGATCCTCAAAACAGCCCTAGGAGGCACAGATCTGGGCTAATTCTTGGCTTCACTGACTTCCAGTCCACATGACAGCAAAGGGCTAGAAGGCGTGTAGGGACCACGACACGAAGAAGCAGCAGTGCATGGGACATGCATTCACGGAGAAGCACAGTTGCACAAGTGTGTGTGGGGGGTGTGCATCCATAAAATATTTCATGAAACACTCTCACCCTAGCTTCAAGCCTTGTCTACTGTACACGGACAGCTCAATGCCCTCATGGGGCAATGAATAATTGATCTGACCACAGTATTTGAAGGGCACTGGGCTTATCTAGGGCTCCAGGCAGGAAGCTATAGCATCAATGGCTCTATGCTGCCCCCTGGTGGGACCCTACTCTTCTTCTGAACCCATTCCTAGCCCTCCCGGCTGCTCCCCTCACCACTCTTCCCTCCTCCCACTCTTTCCACTGGCCCCTCTCACCCTCTGCAAACCTAGAGCTCCAAATGTGCCAATGAAAGACAACCTGGTGACATGGCGTGATGGCACCTTGGCTGGTCACATCCAGGATCCCTTTCTAAGGGACTGTGCCCACTGTCCCATGTGGCCTGTAGCTGACCACTCAGCAGGGACCCTGACCTTCTGCACAGCAACAGAGGGCTACAGGGAAATCAGGTCAAGCATTTTCTGCGTGGGTTTGGGACACAAAGGCAATAAACAATCTCCTCTAATTATAAAACACTCTTTGAGTCTGATTAACAAACTCACTCTCAAACCAGAAAGCTGATCCAAGTTAGTTACCCCTACTCTTTTTAGAAAAGACTAGCTTTTCCTCTTCCATAAAACTGCGTTTTATTTCCTGGGGCCAGCATCACACCGCACTCTGCACGAAAGCTCATGGATGGGCCTTGAGAAGCCAAGCGCCATGTCCCTCTAGCAAGAGCCACAGAGGGCAGACCAGTACCCCTTCCTTTGCCTTCCCACCTACCATAGCAAGGGCAGTTGAGTCAGGGCACAGAGAGGCTGAGGCAGGGGAACAAGAAGCCAGCAAGAATTCTGGACCCCCTACTTGCCTAAGATCTATCTTAAATAGGCCCAGTTTTCTTGCTGGAAAGACAAGAGCTGTAATGAGTATCTCCCCCCAGAACTGTTTCAAGGCTTCACTAAAATAACAGATGTGAAGTAGTACTTAGCATACAGCTAATGCAGAACACATCTCCTCACAAAACAGCCTGTGGTACTTTTTTCTTTTGGGGAAAAAGGTAAAAAGAAACGTCTGCATACTGCATCCCACACTGGGCCTTCCAAATAACATTTCTAAGGCTCGGCGCAGAGCAGAATAGAGGGTGAAAACTGAAGCAGTAAGATGAGATGTGGGCAGCAACAGCCCTCTCCTCCTCTGCTGTTGTAAGAGAGATGGGTGGAGTGACAGCTACAGAGAAGGAGGACAGAGGACGCAAACAAGCCACAGCTTGGTGCCCCAGGGTCTGTGGAAAGGGAACTGACAAGCCAGTGCTCTGCAGAAGAGCAATCTCTTGCTTGAAGCTCAGTGCAAAGGGAGCTGTTCAGCAGCTTCTCTCCTCCTCTGTGCTCCAAGGTGACTTGCTCATTTATGGAAGGTCACAAGCCCTGCATGCTAATAAGATCGGCTTAGAATAATATAGATTTAAGAATAAAAACAAGGCAAGCCCCAAGACACCATTTGCCCTGCAGCAATTTCAACCTGCTGTTGTTCCTGCTACCACTTTCCTTGCCAACTAAAGCAAGGCTGTTGCCATAGCAACTGAATCTCCAGCGTGGGCCTGGGCCCTACAGGTCAGATCATGGCTCTAAGAGGGGAAGGGTCTGCAATGATTTAAGACAAGCCCTCCGGAGCCAGTTGGAATTTCAGATGTCCCAGGCCTTTTGGGAAGGTGCTTTGGGTCACCACGATGCAATGCTGGAGCTACAGAGGGAATGTAGGGTTTCTAGCAACTCCTACCCAGGCAGACAGCTGCAGAGTACAAATTTCACTCAACATGGAACCTAGAGCTGGCCAGGCTAGGAAATGAGGCCACAGCAACAGCAATACAATGGCAGCACACACAGCCTTTGCCTGTATTGTCTCACTGCATGTGGAACAGGAGGCCCAGCACCACCCCATGTACTAGTAAGGAAGCAGACTCAAGAGGACAAGAGCCTGTGTGCAAGATCACATGGCTGGAGAATGACACAGCCAGAACTCCAACCATCCAAGAAACTGGAGGAAGTAGAGGTGGCAGAGAACCAAGATCCAGATGCCTTTGCACCAGTACCACACCACATGCATGGCTTACCCCAGACAAACACCAAGGAGGCTGGCACTGCCATAACCCCCATGGCATGAACAGGAAGGTTCTGCCTAGGGTCACACACCAAGAGGCCAAGCCAGCCCATCCATTATTTCTAGCAGGCCGCCAGAAGGGCCCAAGAAGGGGGTCTGGAGACACTCACCACCTCCTCGATGGCTGAGCTGTCTCTTAGCAGTGGTGCCTCAGCCAGCAGCGACAGCATCAACCCCTTAACACTGTGAGTGTAGAGGTTCATCTGCACGAGTCTCATGGGGCCCCCTACTGGGGTCAGCCTGGGGTCAGCTCTGTCTGTAGAGGGGTTATCACCCTGGGAGTCTGCTGAATCTGAAATGCATTGTAAACCAGTGGCTGCGAGGCTCTCACGGACTCCATCAACCTGCTGATCTACACCTTGGTGCCCCCCAAGAAGCTTGCTTCCTTTCTGCTCTGGATCTGGGTGAGGCGACAATGGCCAGCTGGTCTGTGTGGGGAGGGGGTCTGTTCCAGGAACAAGGCTGTGGTTGCTGGTACCAGGAAGGTCTTCATGCTGCTCTTGGGCTCCATTCTGGGTGAGCACATCAAGTGAGGCAGAGAGACTGCAGCTGGTAGCCATGTCCTCAGATGGCATGGGTTCCAGGTTGCTGGCATCACTGACAGGGTGCTCATGGTAAAGACCTCTGCCACCCGGGGCATACATTTGTAGGAAGGTATAATGACCTGAGGATCCTCCTACTTCCTGAGCTTCTGGAATGTGGATTTCAGACAAGTCAGTCTCCTCCTGGGGAAAGCCTGGTTCCTTGTGCAGAGGGCAGCTGAGGCCAGGGACCTGGCCCTTGGCAGTAGTGTGTAGTCCTGTGGGCCCCCAGTCCTCCATCTCATGGCCAGGTAAATGTCCATTCTCTCCCTTGCCATTTGGCCACACTCTGTCAGGGGACATGGGGTCCAGGGTGGCAGCTGACATCTGAGCCTCGGAGGCCACTTGCCTGGCGGCATCTTTTTTTAAAGCAGATGTGCTCCAATCCTTTGCAAGATGCTGGACTGTGCCATCCTGAAGTCTGGCTGGCCTGGTGAACAAGACACATGTAAAGAAGGGGAACACTGACTGAGCAGTTCCTGGGAGAGGAAAGCACCGATTCCCTAACTGGGACAGGGTCAGTGACAAATGGGTGCCTGAGGCTACAGAGCCTAAGATGCTATCACCGTCAAACCACAGGAGTAAAAGGAAGGTAGCATCCAGCCCGTGGGGCTTCCCAAGACCTCCTACTGAAAATAGGGCCCCCTGAGTAACAGTCATCCACACCTGGAGGGTCTCCTATGAGGCACTGTCACAATGAACATTTGAAAGAGACATGGAAGAGGTCTAGGATTTGAGCCCACTCTCAGATCAACACCTTCAAGATGCAGATGCCTGCCTCTAACACAAAACGGGGAGGCGATGGAACTGAGGAGGGATGGGAAGTAGCAGGACTTCTTTCAATGGACATGTAAGCAAGCTCCTTGCATGTGTGGTTAGATGAATCCCTGGGTGATCCCTGAACTACCTGGGCATCTGCTCCACTGGGAACTCATGGAGACTGGCAGCTTCCTCTTCGGTCAGGAAAACGGGGGTGATCTGGACATTCAGGGGGAATGCTGCTCCTGGAATTGCAAAGCAACATGGGCTGGAGGAAACAGAAGGGCAAAAATTGTTTCCAGAGTGACACACCCACCTCATACACCAGCTTGGAGAGCATGCAGGAAGGTGGCCATCAGCCCAAACACAAGCCACAACTGCAGCGCAGGTGCTGTGACCAGCAGGGAAAGAGCCCCTGTAGACAGCACTATGCCAGCTGGGGAGAAGGAGGATATTCAACGGAAGAGAGTTTAGTGCTACTTAATTTTTTTAAAAAAAGACATAAGCTAGGAAAGCCACGGGAAGCCAAGTCCTCTTGGGGATGCCACCACAATGTGCAAAAGGACCTTATGGCAGTCACCAGAGCCCCAGAACCTGCCTGAGCAGTGTCACAACACTGAGCTAAGGAAGGTCTGCATGCAGGGATCTGGAAGGCATGAGCTTGACAATTAGGATTCTGGTGTATAACGCTGATCCTGAGGATCTCTTAGATCCATTCCCCTAATCTTATGAGCAGAGGAAATAAACCTAAGGGACCATCTGGCCTTGACATGGCTGGTCCAGTGACAGGCAGCATAGGAGTGCCATTTTCAAAGGCCACAGTGCAGCGCGCTCCACTTACCTGGGTCCCGTGGTGCGTCCCCTGCTGCAGGTAGTCTCTGAAAACAGATACACACACATGCTGGCACCAAGCACCGCTCTCTCCTCTTGACCCAACCATCAGGAATTCACCATGCCACCTGTTCACGGGCTCTCCCCAAGCCCAAGGAGCTTGTCCCAGCCACATGCCAAGAGCCTGGCAGATGGAGCAGAGCTTCCCTAAGCTGCTTGCCCCACCATGGCTAGGAGGAGGCAAGAATCAGCCTGCTCAGGCAGCAGCCACCTGAATTCACGTACTGCTCAGAGTTCTGATTTGCTTAGTCTTTCCTCTGCAAAATAAGCAAGAATGCATGGTCTCTTCTGTACCATGGGAAACTCATTCTAGAACCAAAATGTGCCAGTCCTGTGACTCACTCAAAAGTATCTGACCCTTGCTTATTGTGGCTCACAGCCAAGGCCAGAAACCTAGGGATTTTCTAACAAAAAACCAAAAAACTTGAAGATTCCAAAAGCACTACCCTAAACAAAATACAAACCAAAACTGCTCTTCTGGCCAAAATGACTTTCACTCCTATGAGAGTGAAGTATGGCTTCTTCTCTTCTTCAGTGATTTCAAAAACTCATCTTAAGGTTACTACGCCATATATAAGCTTACTCTAGACAAAAGTTCTTTTTTAAAAAAAAAATCACACATAATCCTTTATCCTCAAGCTAATAATTGTTAATATTTGGACTTTTTTCCCTTAAGTTTATGCATTTTTCATACTTTTGAGACATTACATGAAATCTGGCTTTTCAGCTAAGTCAGTTTTTTGCACTCCTCTAACCCAAGCCCTCTATGAGACTGAGGCAAGAGAACTACAAGTTCAAGGCCACCCAGAGGCTTTGGTATCCCTAACTTCCATTCCCAATAATAGAAAAAAAAAATCAATTTGTCCACTTAAAACAGTAATAGGTGGGCCAGGGATTTAGCTCAGTGGTTTCACCGCCTGCTATGCAAGTGCAAGGACCCAAGTTCGATCCCTAGTAACAGAAAAAAAAAACCAAATAAAACCAGTAATAGGTAATTCCTGTCTTCAAAACATCTTTGGCCATTTTTAATGGCTGGCTCAAATCTTATGAAGCTTAAAGTGGTATGAGTAAATTATTTCTTGACCATAGGCCAGTGGTTGGCTAACTTTTTCTGTAAAGGATAAGATGATAGCCAATTTCGGCTTTATGAGCCATGCAACCTTGTCTCAAGACAAGACTCAGTTCTGTCGCTGTAAGTCAAAAGCAGTTCAATAAAACTTTATTTGTATGTAGTTGGCTCACAGACCAGTTTTTTTTTTTAAATTGCCCCCTCCTTTCTTTTAAATTGGCCCCCCCGCCCTGTCACAGGCCAGTTTGCCAAATCCCACCTTAGACATTTTTCATATCCATAAATCCCGTTGTGAGAGAGGCTCCCCCACCCCCAGTATAGTGGTTCCTCAGCTCATAAGGGCTTCTGTTTGTAAACAGAAACATTTGACAAAATTTTGTTCTTGTTTGCAGACTCTACATCAGGTGACAAACATGAACGCAGACATCTTTCCCACACAAACACAAATGTGGCCATCTTTTCCAAAATTGCAGAACAAATTAAGTTCATGAACCGAGGTACCACTACACTGAGAGCCAAACTCAGGGCCTACACAAGCACTGAAATACATCCCTATCCATTCATTCATTCATTCATTCATTGGTAGTGGGGAATGAGCCCAGGGCCTTCACTTCACTCTCAGCTATATTCTCAGCCCTTTTTTATTTTGAGAAAGGGTCTCTCTCTGTAAACTGCTCTGGCTGGACTTGAAACAGTGATCCTTCTGCCTAGCCACCTAAGTAGCTGGGATTACAATTGTGCACCACCAAGCCTGGCTGATTTTTAAAATTTTATCTTGAGATGGTGTCTGGCCTCAAACTTCCCATCCTCCTGCCTCAACCTCCAAAGTAGCTGGGATTACAGGTGAATGTCATTGCACTGGCTAACAACAGAGTTTTGAATATAAATTTTTTTCAGCAGTTAGAGCTTTTCCTTAGTATAGATTTCAAGAAGTAGAATTATTAGGAGAAGGAAAGGACATCCTTAAGGCTTTCCCCATCAAACTGTTTACCAGAAAGGGTGTTCTCACCAACACCCCACCAGCAGAGGGTGAGGAGCCTGGATAGAGGCCCATCAGCATTTTACATGTCTGCTGACTTCATAAGGGAAGAGAGAGCTTTATGAAACACTGAAACCACACTTTCATACCCTAAATACACAAAACAAAAGAAAAAAGGAATGGAAGAAAATTGCCAGGTACTAGCAGTGGTTATGTCCATGTGGCCCAATTGTGGGCAACTTTATTCCCAATGACTGTCTTTTTTTCTCTCACTAGAAACACAAATAAATACCAAATGGAAGTATTATAAGAGTCACTGTTTTCCTAAGGACACATTCTTTACAGTGGGTCTCTGAAAAATCTAACATTTCTCTGACATAAAGGCCATCTTGATAGTGAGTCAAATTCTTAAAGCCACTTGTCTGAGGAAAAAGCAACTATCCAAACCTACCACAGGGAAGAAAATGCTTCCCTTCAGCCTTGTCAGTAGGTTTAGTCTGGAGCAAAACTGTGCTAACAGACCAAGGGTCCTGACAACATTCAGTCTAACAAGTAACCCAGGCTTATCCAGTGCTTGGGATTGGTCCCACCAGACATGGTGACGGGCACTATGGGGCTGTCATCCTGGCCAGGTGGGTAAGAGTTGCAATACCTGGTCCAGAGGTGCAGGTCTGTGAAGCAGGATCTTGGCAGTGAGGGAGGGTGCCAGCTGGGTGCTTACAATCCTACAGGTCAGACACAGGAACAAGAGCACGTGAGAAGAAACACGCTGGAGCCTCTGCATTTAAAAGATGCCTCGTGTTCTATGCTAGACATGGATGGTGGGAGTTTCAACTGGTAAAAGCCCTTATGAGGGGTACTCTAGCAGTTCCTCGCACCAGTTAAAATGTCTAATAAACCCTCTGACCAGGCTTGTACTAAGACGTACATATAAGAATATTCATCACAGGGAAAGTGGGAAACAAATAAACAACTAAATGTCCATCAGAAAGATTCATTAAATAAATCATGGCAAAACCACATCAGCAACCCATGTATGGCCTTTCCAAGAACGAATCCCAGGCCAGGGATTTAGCTCAGTGGTTCCGCTGCCTGCCTTGCAAGCGCAAGGTCCCGAGTTTGAGCCCCGGTACCAAAAAAAAAAAAAAAGAATCAATGGACCAATATGGCCTGGTAAAGAAAGCTCTACCGTGCACATCAAGTAGAGGAACTGTGTGATCCCACTTTTGTAGAGACCAGAAATAAGCAAAATCAATACATGTGCCTAAGTACATGTGGGACATGCACAGAAAGAGCCCAGATGTTGGCCGAATGCTAACTGTGGGAGTGGGCTGAGTGTAAGCAAGAGAGAACAGGAACTGTTCAATGTGTTCTGTATATTTCTCTATTGGTAGGGGGGTTTTTTCAACAATAAGAAAGTGTTAAAATATTAGCCATATAATTTTTAAATATTTATGAAATGTAAAATAAGGGAAAAATGCTATCTTTGAAAGCCATGTCTTTTTTGTACATAGGGAGGGGAGGGGGGTTGAAGGGAAGATTTGGGATAAAATAAAATAAAATTTACTAAAAAAAAAAGCAAGCCAGGTCTTGGTGAGCTTGGCAACCCTGCAAGTTGAGGCAGAGCTGTCCTGCTGAGAAAAGAGGAAGGGGAAAAGGGGATCGCGTGCTCCAGGCACTGTACTCAGTCCTTCCACACCTGTTGAGTCATTTCATTATCCACACAGGGTCTCTGTTTCCCAGAAGAGAAAACCAAGGTTAAGCAGTTTGTCCAAGGCTCACGGCTGGGAGGAAGAGAAGCTAGGGTTCAAGGTCCAGCCTGTTATGCTCGAGAGCCTTGAGAGCACTGCTCTCAAGAGCCCTGCCAGAAGCAGCTGGAGTGCCCCTCAGCTACACAGTTATGCAGTCAGCAGGGCCCTCTGGCTTCCGACCCTGGCGTGAGAGCAACTCTTGGCAACATGTGGAGTGGCTCTTAGACACTCGGGCTCACAGAGAGGCCCTCCAGCTGGGCGAAGAGGTCTGTGAGTTCTCAGAGGCCTGTAAGGATGCAGACCTGGGCACTGGGCTGGAAGGAGCTGGGGAAGAGCGGGTTATGCTGTTTTGCAAGCTAAGCTGCAGCTGGTGCACTGGGGCCCTAGGACACAAGATGAAGGCAACTGCAGCCTTCATGCCCCCTTGCTTACACGGCTGGCTGCTACTGACATCCTGTAAGTGACAACTACAGAGCACATCCCACACTGAGAATTACGTGGACCCCTTCCATAGGTCCACCTTTCCTGAACACAATAATCTTCAATCCCTGGTTGTGCCCAAAGACAGGGACATACCTTAAGTCAAATCTAAACAACCCAGTACCTCAGTTCATGAATACTTTTGTTTGCGAAGAATTTGGTTCACAAACAGAAGCATTTGGCAAAATTCTGTTGTCTTTGAACTCTGCACTGGATGATGAACATGATCGTGGCCATCTTCCCTGCATGAATTTGAACGTGGCCATCTTTTCCAGAATTATGGAACAAGCTGAGTTCACAAAGCAAGGGACCATTGTATTTGTCACACAAGCTCACGTAGAACTGGCCAGAGACTGAGCTCACTGCCTATGACCTGGAGGTAGCCAGGTGGTCAGTCCTGCAGCAGGATAATGTGGTAGAGGAGAGGGACAGGGTGTTACTCACAGTCCTTTATACAGGATGCAGCCAGCTAGAATGTGAGGCGAGCGCTGGCAGGTCTGCAAAATGAGGGCTGCCTTCAGCAACAGCAGGGGCTCCACCTGCGCAGAGCAAGACACATGGCCAGCCATTAGCAGGCTCACAACACAGCAGGGACACAAGGGCAGTGGCTTTCATAGAGATAGGAGGTTATAATTCAAAGCCTGGAGAAAGGAGAAGGCGTCCCATAGTCAGACCCCTGTCATACCTTCTTGGGTCTGATCTGTACTCAGTACCCATGACTGCTGACACCAACAAAATGCCAAATGCTGGGCATAGGAGGCTTCCCCAGAAGCTGAAAGGCATAGTGAATGTGCATATGGCTATTGCCTGGGAGACCTGACTATCGCTGCTGAGATGAGATGGCAACAAGTCATAGGGCCAAGTAAAACCCACCCACCCTGCAGAGCAGCCCCAAGAGAGGCCGCTGGCTTCACTGATATCCGACCAGGTGCTATCGCTTGATCCTGTCACATAAGGGAAAACACCACAGCCTTTCACCAAGCTAACACAGCTGTGAGGAGCTGGTTGCCTAGAAGTTCCTAAAACTGTAAGAAAAGCATCTGAACCTGACAAAAGTGTCCAGCAATACCCCCCGCCTCTTATTTCCACCTGCCTGCCTGGCAGCGAACCCCCACAGGTACCCATAAGCTGCCACGTCTCAGCATGAATGGAACCAAGTCCTGCAGCAGCTGCCACATGAAAAGGTTGTTTATTCTTTCCTGGCCTTAAAACTATCCAGTGCCAGCCAGCACCCTGTACAACTCAGGGCCAACTCCACAAAGTCCACCCAACAGGAGCAGAGGAAACCCTTCCCTGTCTAGTGGACTCATGCTCTGTGAAGGCTGTGACCCTGCGCCACACCCCTGTCAGAGAGACACACTTGCTTCTGGTCTGAGATGTAGGAGGCTCATCTGAGATGCTCAGGGCTCAGACAGCTCGTTCTTCAGGGGACAGTGTAGGTAGCCAGGCCAGTCACACAAGCAGCTTGGTTCCACTGAGTACCAATGGCAAATAGAATGGCTCAGAGAGGCAGAGCACTTCCCACCCTACCTACCTATCTCCTCTCCACCCATCTGTCTGTCTGTCTGTCTCTCTCTCTCTCTCACAGTAAGCGTGTTTTAAAATGTTAGAGCTGGACATTTCTGAGGTTGAAAATAATTAAATCAGATGACAGTAATGTTGAGAGCAGAGGGGACCTTCAGGTTTCTGAGTTCAATACTGCTGGGGCAATAGCAAAATGGTAATCCCCTATACTGAGTACATTAAGTCCCTGACTTACAAACACTCGAGTTGCAAGCTTTCACAGATATGAATGGACCTCACATTACATTCACAAATGCAAACAAATTGCAGAAAGTAGCTCTTGTGTCTGCCGGACATTGTCACAGTCATGCTGCTGTGTGCTTACTGTACAGCGCAACAGTGTACAGTAGTACAGTGGTGAATCAGAACCTAAGATGTTTGAGTGTTTGGTTTTTAATACTTTATGTTGTATATGTGTGTGAAGGGTGTATAAGACTCACTTTGTTGGACTTACAAATGAATCGGACTTACAAACATTCTCCCAGAATGGAACTCACTCGTAAGTCGGGGACTTACTCTTATCTACTTGGTGTCACCTGAGGTACAGCCTCACTGTACCATCAGAGCAGTCCTAGGAGGCTGGTAACACAACACCAGTTTATAGATGAGGGAAAGGAGGCTCTTCAAGGTGGCCTATCTCGCTCCTGCTCAAAGAACTGGGAAGCACCCACAGGGAAGCTCATAGCAGGGCTTCCTGCCTGCCCGCCTGCCTAGAAAACGACATGTTTCAGGCACTTCTCTAGATATAGCTCATTTCAGGAGAGTTTTTAAAAGACTGTCCCGAGGCTCTGTTCTTATGCATGAAGTAAACAAAGAGAATGAAAATGTTACTTTGGTTTGATCCAGGTTCCAGAGGGAATTGAATATCTTATGCAGATCACTGGTGTTTTTCAGAACTTGCTCAATGAAAGTGTCCCACTGCAAACTCAGTTCCTCCTGAGAATGGTTCTAAAATAGAAACAGCCTGAGGTCAGTATCTGACATCTGGACAGACTCTTTGGCAAGGACTGCAACTGTGCTAAAGACCATTCCACATAGGAAACTGGCCGCATGGATGGCCTGCTCTGACCCCTTGCAAGCACACCCCCCACTTCTTCCACCCTGACCTCCTGCCCCACCACAGAACCAGGACACTTGTTATTCTAGCCATCCCAGGGAACAGGGGTGAGGACAAACACTTGGGAACACAGGCATCTGAGAGGGGCTCCAAGGGCCCTCAACCTGGTCACTGGACACCATGCATTCATGTAAAGAAGTGCTACATTCGGACAATATTGGCTTTACTAAAGAAGCCCAACATGATTCCCCATGCCACACTCATACCTTATAAGCCAGGGAAACGGGACCATTGTAAAAATTAAAGAATCCAATGAGCTGATCTAGGAACTGCTTGCAGCTGATATCGGGGAGCTCCACAGCACAGCCCAGCACCTGAGAAGAGGAAGCCCAGGAGGTCAGGCACTATCCTGTTCTTTGAGGCCAAACACAGAATTCTGGCACCCACAGCTCTCCACTGCCCGCCAAGACTGATCATCTACAACCCAGAACCCACTCCCTTCACTGCCACCAAGCTGATCTCTACAGAGAACAAGTACTTTCTGTCCCTCTACTCATGGTGCCCTGCCAAAAATGCACTCTCCTTCCTGTTCACCTTGTCTCTCCAGGTGGACGGAAAGCTTCAAGAGCAGGACTGACCGAGTCATCACAGTCCTAACCTCCAAAGTGCTAAGTGCAAAGCTGACAAACTCCGGCTGAGTTGGGAAGAGATCTAGCCATATGTTTAAAGAACCTGAACATAGCTCATAGTCTTGATTCTACCTCTAGGAATGTGTCCTAATGGTATTTAACCAGGAATTTAAATAAGCAAACCTAGACGGAAAACAAGTAAATGAAAATTCTCTTAAATGTAAGCTACAGGAGAGTCATGTTTTCTCCTCTGAAGTGATCCAAGCGTTTAACAGTCTGACATACAGGAAATGCTTACTTTCTCCCCAGTTATCTATAAACTGAAAGCAACTCCAGTCATAATCCCACCAGCTTTTCTTTACAAACTGATGAAGTGGTTTAACAATGGAAATACAAATGATCTAAAATATCCAAAACTATCTTAAAAAAGAATAGGGTTGGAGAACTTATACCACCTAATTTCAAGACTTACAATAAAGCTACAGAATTCAAGACGGCGTGGTACTTGTGTAGAATCCTCAAATATATCAATGGAAGAAAATACAGGGTCCAGAAATAGATCCAGACTTATCTGGTCATCTGATCTATGACAAAGTAGCCAAAGAAATTCAACAGGGTCAGGAAAGTCTTCTCAACAATGGTGGTAGTATACGTGGATATCCAAATAAGAAAAAAATAACCCTTGACTTCTATTCACAACACAAATTATTAACTCAAACTGGATAGTAGACCTAAATTTAAAAGCAAAAATTATGCCAGGTGTGGTGACTCAAGCCTATAATCCCAGAACCTGGGAGGCTGAAGCAGGAGGACCGTGAGTTCAGTGCCAACCTGGGATACCTACTTAGACCCTGTCTCAAAAAAACCCAAACAAAAATAAAAACTATAAAACTCTTACCGAAAAAAAGAGGCCAAAGTGGTGGGAAATAGATTCACAGAAAACAGAAAGCCATAAACCTTAAAATTAAAAACTTTTGCTTGTTAAAGAAAATTAATAGGCATGCCACAAACTGGCAGAAAATATTTTAAAAATATGTATCTGACAAAGAAATGGCCTCAAATACATGAAGAACTACAACTCAGTAAAACAAGAAAACCCAACTTAAAGGACAAGCACAGCTAGACATGATGGTGCATGCCTGTAATCCCAGCTTCTCGGGAGGCAGAGGCAAGATGATGCTAAATTCTAGGCCAGCCTGGGCAACTTAGACTTTGTCTCAAAATAAAAAAGGCTGGGGAAGTAGTTCAGTTCAAAGGCCCTGGCTTCAATCCCCAGTACCACAAAACAAAAAAGAAAAGAAAAAAGAACAAAAGAAAAAAGTGAGGAGCAAACACTTTGACACACTTCACAAAGGAAGATATACAAATGGCCCTTGACTACATGAAAGCACCTCCACGTGGTGGTCTTCAGGGAAATACAAATTGAAACCACAATAAGATATCACCACAAATTCAGCAGAAGAGCTAAAATTAAACACTGACGATATCAATGTGGAAGAGAAGTAAGTGGAGTTCTCTGTGACTATTACTGATGAGAATGTACAACCACTTGGCAAAAAGGCTTGGCAGCTTCTTGTAAAATTCAACATATACCTTCCCTAGGATCAGCAGTTTGAAAACATATATCCACAAAAAGACATCCATGAGAATGTTCCTAAGAGCCTTATTCTTAATTTCCTAAAGCTGGCAATGTCTCCAACCACCAAAAGGAGAATAACCAGACTGTAATACATTCAGAAAATTGAATACTATTTAATAATAAAAAGGAGTGAATACTGATTGATGTAATCTCACAAACATTAAGTGGCAGACATGTCATTTAAAATAAAGAATAGTATACCAAATACTCATATGATATTCTAGAACAAGCAAAACTAATCTATAGTGGAAAACTTCAAAACAATGGCTGCCTCGAGTTGGAGTGGGCAGAATTAACTGGAGTGGGACTGAAGGAATCTCCAGGGTTGATGTGTACGTTGCCAGGAATTTGTGTGGCATGTGCAGTATTTGTCCACCTGCTCAAATGGTACACTCAAGATTTATTTATTTCATCAAATGTAAATTTCACTTCAAGAGAAAAAGAACCCTAAACAGTGAACTTTAGGGCTGGGGATTTAGCTCAGTGATTCCGCCATCTGCCTTGCAAGCGCAAGGTCCCAAGTTCGATCCCCAGTACCAAAAAACAAACAAACAGTGAACTTTAGTTAATTACATCTACGGTTAAGTATTTGTGGGTAGGGGAATACACTGATGTATGCAACTGACTCTGAAAAGTATTTTTTAAAATCTGGGTTGATGGGAGGATGAAAGGATGAACACAGCAATATGTGATACAGCAACTACAATAAAATGTTAATTGTAAAAGAGACGTGAGTTTTCACTATAAAATTCTTGCAACTGTTCAGTATGTTAGAAATTTTTCATAATAAAATGTGGGAAATAACACCTACAAAGTGAATATACCACCCCACATCACAGCATGCCTTTACCTCCAAAGCCTTAAAGGGCAGGCAAGGGAAAATACGCTTTAGATTAAATGGCTGTAAAAGAATATTTTTTATTTATTTACCTTTAGTGGATTCTTTAAAACCTAACCTGTATATATGAATGTCAGGGTCTTTATATCACTTGAAGCATAGACTATTCAGAGTATATAGAGAAGAAAAGATGGAAATAAATTTATTTGCAACACAAAGCAAACAGAATTTTCATAGGTTGGCCTAAGTCTTTTAAAGGAAAGGAGAAAGCAGCTGTGTGTAAAGCAGGACATGTTAAAAATGTCTTGCAGAGAGTGGGGGTGGCGGGTACAGCTCAAGGGTAGAGCACATGCTCAGCATGGGCAAAGCCCAAGATGGGCTTAATCCTCTGCATAAAGGAAAAACAAATGTTCTGGACAGCACTCAGTTATGATGAGCACCTCAGCAAATGTCACCGGAAGTGTGGATGATGACTGGACACAGTGCCAGGGGAGGGGGAACAAACTCCAGGTTCAAGAGCTACAGATCAGTGTAACACTGCAGCACTGATCGGGCGGGCCTGTCTGAACTTACCCAGAGGTAATCTTCTTCAACCTTTACGGCAAACTTCAGTTTCCGCAGGCGAATGAGAGTGGGAGAAGAGCCAGAAATGTCAGAGACACAGCGGACAACTCCAGCAATCTGCCCACAGAGCAGCTCCTGACAGTCCAGAACGGTCTGTGAGAAAGGAGCAGATTCCAGACAAGAGGCTAAAATTCTTGAATTCTTGGGTCATTCCTCAGAGCAAACTAAAGCCCAAAGGCCAAATGAAGTCTGCTGCCTGTTCTTATGTGGCCCACGAGCCAAGAATTATTTATATATTTTAAGTGTTATAAAAACAAGAAATAATATATGACAGAGCCTTTATCAGGCAAAGCTTAACATATTTACCACCAGGCCCTTTACAAGTTTGTCAAGCCTGTCAGGGTGGCTGAACTGTCAGAAAAGCCCCAGTGAGCACATGAAACAACAGCACAGAGCTCTATCTGTGTTCCGGGGATTATAGGCACACACTTGAGTAGACACACAATTCTTTCATTCCCACTCAAATCCCCTGCACAGAGCGGTCTGGGCAGCCTGGATTAATCCTGGCCATCTGAGTCACAGTATAATCACATGAGTGGACACAGAATCTCATCAGTCTTTGAGAAGCATTTCTTTTTTTTTTTTTTTTTTTTTGGTACCAGGGATCGAACTCGGGCCCTTGCGCTTGTAAGGCAGGAGGCAAAACCACTGAGCTAAATCCCCGGCCCAAATCTTATCAGTCTTATCCTTAATCAAACTGTGGGACAGCCAGACATGACGTGATGCCACAGAAAATGTACACGCCATCTCTGAAGAATTTCTGCCTGATAGAACTGAACTTGGGTCTAATCAAGGCTCTAGAGTTTACTATTAATTTAAAGGAAATACAGCAGGTAGAAGATAGCAAATGACATCACCATGAGAAACTAATCAGTCAAACCCAGAGTGTGGGATATTCTAGCATGCTACCACACAAATGGCCTGGTTTCTTCAATAATTCAATGGCAGGGGTGGAAAAAAGAAAGGGTGTATGGGTGAGGAGTAATATAAAAGGGTCTGAAAGGACAAAACAACCAGAGACTATGTGGATGCTTCTTGGACTGATTAGGACAGACAGAGAGAAAGAGTGAAAGAGAGAGACTAAAAAGAGAGAAGGGTGAAATCTGAATATAATCTGGGTATCATGATATTAAGGAATTACTGTTACCAATACTGTAACTTTTTTTAGGTGTAACGTCCTGTTTGGGTAGAGATGGCATTGGACTGAGTGAGATGATGCAATGTCTAGAATTTGCTTCAAATATCTTAAGTAAGTAAATAAAATAAGAGGGTTAAAACCATACAAAGCTGGTTAAGCCCTGATAATAGTATGAGGGTTCACGATACTTTCCTTTCTACTCTTATATGTTTCAAAAAAATCTTTTTAAAAATGAGCTGACCCAGGACTGCGGGTTTAGCTCAATGCCACCATGCCTGCCTCACAAGCACAAGTCCTGAGTTCGATCCCAGGTACTAGAAAAAAAAAAAAAGATGAGCTGGCCCAAAAATTGAGGGTAGAGGAGACAAACAAAAAATCATGATAATAACAGAGAGATGGGGAAGAGGGACGTCCTGAACTCTCTGGGAATTTTAAGACCAGAACACAAAGAAAGAGTACATCTCAGAATAAGATGGCAGACATGTCAAATGCCTGGACTGGTCAAAGAGAGCTGTCCTGAGCTACATCCTATACTATAAAAAGTCGCCAGGTGGAGGCAGTGGGATCCATGCTGAATACTAAAATGTCATGTGGCTTACCTGAGAAGGATAAAAGTAACAAATGCCAGCTCTGGTTGGATCTCCTTCCTCCTTCACCTTGGAACCATCATAAAGAAAAAAATAACTCCACCTGGCAAGAGAACAGAACAGAGCCATGTTTTCTTTCACCCAGTGACAACAGTATATTAAAATGCAGCTTCCTACTTCTGAGCCCACGGAGGGCTTGGTACCCAGTGCAGCCTTCTGCTGGGCTCAACAGAGAAAGAACCCAGCAGCTACAAATAGATAAAACTACTCCGCAAGTGCAGGAGAAACCAACTAAAAATATACCTCTATACAGCTGTCAGACCATCTGCCCAAAAAGACATGAGTAGCTAGAGGAAAACTGGCACACCCACAATGACAGCTCTTATTTGAAATGCTGAACTGTAACTATACAACCACATGGCCTGGTGCACTGTCCTCTGAGGCCATGATAACAAGGTAGGTTAGGGATGTCTTAGCTGCATTTCTCCCAACTGCTGAGCATAGTGATCTCCAGAAATAGTCTCTCCACCAGGAGTTTACCTAACAGATGTTCACAGAGGGTCTGTGGTGTGCAAAATGCAATTTCAGTTCCAGGCAGTGCATCTACAACAGGGAAAAGCAGGGGCCTTTGGGAGTTTACAGAGAAACAGTGGACTCTTCTGTCAGTTAAAACTGTACCAGGCTAGGGACCGGGGATTTAGCTCAGTGGTTTCACCGCCTGCTGTGCAAGCGCAGGAACCTGAGTTTGATCTCTGGTACCAAAAAAAAAAACAAGAAAAAAACTGTACCAGGCTCTAAGCATCACTCAAACATGCTTCTTCATCAACTTTCTCCTGACTGTCCTGCCCAGGGGAATCTAAGTTTCCAAAACCCTCTCTCTCTCTTTTTTTTTTGGTACCAGGGATCAAACTCCTGACCTTGGGCTTGCAAGGCAGGCAGCAGAAGCACTGGGCTAAATCCCTGGCCCCTCCATAGCCCTCTCTTGCCTAAACACTTTTATGGTCTGCTCTACAGAATAATTATGCAATATTCATTATCTTCATTACCTGATTATCTCTTGAAGACCAGAGTGAACTCTCCAAAGGTTGAACCTTGGTTTTATTTCTAAATCGTCAAAAGCACATTCATCAGGTTGTAGTGTACAGTGGAGAAGATGTGGCCACTCTGTCACCTGCATTCTTCTCACAGGGATCTGTGCCCTGCCCTGGGCCTCCCCTCTCTTTGCCCATGACAGCCACCACCTGTCTCCAGGATGATCCTTTTTCTAGAGTTCTAGGGCTGGTCCAGATCAAAAAGCCTCAACAAGCAGGGTACAGTGGTGTATATCTGTAATCCTAGCTACTCTTTTTTGTTGTTTTTAATTAAATTCTTTTATTGGTACATTGTAGGTATACAACACAATTACATTTCTCATTGGGAATTGTATCTTTACATAATGCATCTTGGTTCTTATTTTTTCCCCATTCCTAGCCCTCCCTTCACGCCCTCCACCCTTCCCTATTTACAA